ACTCACAAGTGCAGGTCCGTTTCCTCCCAAGGGTGTAACTCTGGCGCTCACCAGTTGCTCGACTGCTTCGGTTAGTCTTTCACACCTCTTCAGTAGCACAGATAGACAGCTAACAAATGGAATAGACTCGCATACTTGGCAGAACCAAAACGCGTCTGCGGTGTTGGCTTTCGTGAACGCCTTCCCAAGGCAGGTAGTGTGGTATGTTTTCAAACACATAGTACAAACCAGACCACTTTTTACGACTTTGGCACATGATTCGCATTTGCTCTTCATACGAGACATGTTCTCAGTAGGGGTAGGGATGGGACGGAGATACTGACGCACCTTTGCGTGGCGATCGGCGCTGGTTCGAGGTCAGCAGGTCCAGGCGTGTCGAGGCCAGATGAATCACGCGTTCTTTGGGGTGGATGTGCGTGCTATCGATCCAGACGGTAGAGGGTAGGCCGTGGTGGACGTAGGACTGAGGCAAAGCAAGGTGAGTTGGAAAATACTGTCTAATGACGACAGTGGCAGTTCCAAGGACGGATCAAATTGACGACTATCGCTTTGTAGAGCGACTTGAAGGAATGGTAGTAAGCTGATCGGGTGACTCTCAAAAAGATCTTTAAAATAAGACCACAAGAGTTCTTATGTGATGAGAGGAGAAATAAAACATCCGATAAGCTTCAAATACGGTTGACTTCGAAGTTCCAAGAGCACAGTTTGTTGGTGATCCGTGAATGATAGATCCAATAGATGAACAGTGGTAGGAGGAGCTCGCGGAGCCAAATCGAATGATGGCACGTAGGTCTCTGTGAGAATAAATCCAAAGATTTGGAGGCGAATAACGCAGGAGGACAGTTTTTTGCGACCGCACTGTCGGTGGTTTGAGTAAGTCCGCGGTGAGATCAACCAGTACAACCCATAACGAAATATGAATCTCGAAAGTATAGACCGAATGTGTGTACATTAGTGCTTCTTAATGTTTTCAAGAATCTGTTAATTCCGCGGATATTTATAGCCACTCCAGTCTGCGTTTGGATCCCAGCGCGCTTCACTGGGTGCAGTGGCATACCTTGTTCATTCTACGGTGTCTGCACTAGATCAAAAATGTAAATCCATGCACATTTTCTTCTGTGATTATTCAAATGCCTTTGGAAACCTGGATAGGTCAGTGTTGTTAAACTTGCTATCCGAAAATGGAGTTCACCTGGGCGTGTGCAATCTGCTTCGTGACTATTTTACGGATAGTACTCCACCAAGCTAAATGGTAAGAAGTCCTATGTCCTCTGTGCTGACTGCAGTGTTTTGCAGGGAGCTGTTCTATCGCCTCTCGTATTATCCCTATATGTTGAACGTCCCCTCATAAAAACCACACTTACCGGATGCAAATATGCTGACGATGTTGTACTGGAATGTATGGCCCTAACCATTCGGGATTCAGATTTGAAGATCTGCTGGAGTGGTCTACATCCAAACCCCTCATTGTTAACGTACCTAAATGCAGTGATGCAATATTTTCTTTTCTTCGCGACGATAAATTGCAAACCCACACAGATATCCCTCACCTTTACTGTGAACAAAAATCACATACCCAGATCATCAACGGTCAAGTACCTTGACGCCTTTTTGTCCCAGATCCTTTCTTTGTCCACGCATATCTGTGAAACATTCCGAAAGTCAGAAAATTTACGTTTGGCATCATACTTAAGGTGTTTTTATTATCCTGTGCTTAATGTTCCATTTTGTGACATTGTACATTATTTCTACTTGGTTACACTGCTCTCCTGTCATCTTCCCTGGATTTCTTCAGAAAGGCTTCATCTTATTCATACGATGTATAAAGCATATTTCCAGCTAAAGCGGCCCGTCTAGAGATTATTTAGTAGATTTGATCATTTCTAGGCATCCTGATGCCTGCAATAATTTTTCCTCCAAGGTATTGACCTATCGTTTTCATCCACTTCACAGTGCACTTTCAAAAATGCCCTCCCTACTACGAGTTCATAATTCAAATTTTATCCTCTCGCACATCACCGTATCCGTACTACTGTCTTGCCTTATGCATCACGTTTGCTCGTCGACCCAGCGGAACTCACAACAATACTGCGCGAGCGGTTGTTACATTGACAGCTGTGCATAGTTTCCATTTTCTTCCCAAGTGTGTTATTATTGTTAGCATTCAGTTTGTACGCAGTGGTGGTGTGAACGCTGAAAACAAGCCCATCGGGATTCACAAAGCTTATTTTGAATTAACTTATAACTCTCCAATCGGTCGAACTAAATATAACTAGTGCCGGAGAAGCAGATAAGCTTTTAGGCAGCCTAATGTCATTAAGCATGTGAGGCTTTAAATTGGATGCTTCACAAAAAGTAGTTACAGTATTTTGGAGATCAGTAGAGGAACGGATATTGAAAACAAGGACACTATGATAGCATAATGGTTTCTTAGGCACTATGGAGTGCCTAGTATTTTTATTTAATGATTTTGCTTGAGTCGGCAATACGGAAAACATGTAGACTCCACATGTGTGGTTGTAATTTTATGGGAAGTTTAAGGTTCCTGAGGATTTGCCGATTCAGGTTTATCGGGTGTGGGTTCAGTAGCTCACAATCGACCAAAGTAAAGTACAGGGCCCCGGATTATTGACCACAGTTATTGATGTTTGTAAATCGCGCATTAAGTTTACAGGGTCGTTCGTTGCTCTGGAAGACCATCTAGCTAGGGAGTAATGCGGTGGACTTGTACAGATCAACAACTGGTTTAAGTAACCTTCGCCTGATTGAGATTTCTTCATTTCATGACGGTGACTGCGCCCGGTTTTGGAAGTCAGAAGTTCTAGGATATTTGCCTTATTCATCATTATTGTTGGAGAGTCATGATTTATTATGCTGGTGAGATGGCTAGGAGTGGGTTCGTTCGCAGATAACCCTATGTAGTTAGGTCAGTTATGCAGCTGGAGACGAGTACAGTAGATGCTGCAGATGCGGAACCACGGAGGGCAGTGTGCCGCCTCGTAGAAACCATCTGTGTAAAAGTACTCGCTATACATGTGTTCCATCAGCAAGTGCTTCCAGATCTTAAAAGTAATGTTGGTAGCGTTTGTTTACAAACTCGCTGTCTGTTAATGAACCGCACAAGTTGAATAGGACTGAATACGAATGGTGCTGTACTTTCCTATTAAGCCTTGTGCTACTGCATTCTGTGCTAGCCTTGTTTCCAGTATAAAGTAGAATAGTCCTTAAGACATCGAGCGGAATATTATCGGGAACATTAAAACCATTACGTCTTATAGACACATCCTGCCAACTACTTTTGCGGGAATCGAGTAGACAAGTGTACTTACGGATAACATTTGCTCGACTTTAGGACTCGTCGTCATGTTCATTAACGCAGCTATAGGTTCTGTACATAAAAGACATTCTTGCTTAGTGCGCCGAAACCTGTTAGAGAGCTATCGACCGACGACATTTTGACCTTAAGCTAGAAAGATCACTTCGGATGGCAAGTAGTTTAGTAAACTGAGCTGACGAGACTGGTGTGCATAGTTATGCCTCAGTTGGTTTGTTGAGTCTCACTGTTTTAGCCGTTGTCGGAGTTTTGCGGGTGATAGCCAAAACCCTTGTACATCTGACTAGCATAATAAAAAGGAACATGGGCTTAGATCAATGTCTGAACTAACCTTTGTAGGCCAAAACCGGTGCGAAAAAATGGGTAACAGTTCAGAAAACAAAGCTCCGAACAATGAAGTCTAGCTAAATGAAAGGTGGTTTAGTGGCAAGAAAGAAAGAAAAAAGGAAGACGAACTGTGCTGGTTGGCCAGCAGCAGCAGTTTCATTTCCGCGCCTATGTTGTAGCAATTCGTATCACTGCATGCTGAGTTGCAGGCCAGCGGCGTCAGCCGTTAGCGATCGGATGATTACGAGCGCTGACCATGCAGCAGTGCGGTTGGAAGTACAGGAATAGACGTGTGCATAAGTGCGATCGGTTAGCGTGGGAAAAAACGTATTTGCAATTGCTTGCTAAATGTGACGTTAATACCTACAAAACGTGTTGCAGTAACCGTACGTAATGTCCGATTGTTGCAATCTAGAGCTGGATGGAGAGCCCTTAAAACGTCCACTTGAACGAGGGTAAAGGTTTGGATTTGCACACAGATAATCTGGCGCTTTTGCTTGTGTTATTCAGTAGAGCAACTGCCAAAAATATAGTAGCGAGGTACATAGTGACGTTTGAGGATAGATCTTTGATTCCCGAGTTGAATGAGTCCGACATCAACAAAATACACTGAGACGGTGATGGATAAACTCGCTTAAAGTCAGAGCACTGGAACTTGTGACTGGCACGCACTTTCGGCATGCTGAATTCACTGACAGCACAACTACCTGGGCTTTACATCCTCACTAGTGGTTTTCCATTTCGTTCAGTCGAGTGAAAGCACCAAATAGGTCGAAATTCATCCGAAAATAAACACACATCAGCGAAAAAATGAGTCAACGAATGCGCCGTCGGATAGTGTTGGGCGGAGCCTGGGATACTAGTCGGTAAGCACTGACACGTAAGACGTGTCCAATACGAGACAGTATAGAACTCGGAGAAGACTGAACCAAAAGTATAATTGCAGGCTACAAAAATTGTAAGCGAATCATCCAGAGCGAGAAGCGGTGCAGTAAGGTACTCACCAAAACGCTTTGTGTCAACGGATGTGCAGTCAGCAAAACAAGTGGACGTTTTGAAGGTTAAAACAACCGTAAAAGCCAATGTTGCAAAACACTGAAAGAGCGTGTTTTCCGGTACACTACAATAGTCCATTAGAATATGAACGAGCAGCATACAGAAACCTACAGGAATTTTTGAGCACACATCAACGGTGTATTGCCAAGGTAAGCCAACGAAGGACAGAGAAACGGCTGATACACTGTCTAGTGTATCACTTGTATTCATTCCTACTTCCAACACGTTCCAGGACTCTTCGAAGAATTAACATGATTATTTATCTTGTTCCGCTCCCTTGCAGGTGTCCGACGTCGTCGTGGAGCCGTACAACGCAACACTGGCTGCCAGTCAGCTCATAGAACTCATTGACGAGACATTTGTCATTGATAATGAGGCGCTGTACGATATTTGCTATCGTACTCTGAAGTTAGTGAATCCCACCTATGGAGACTTGAACCATTTAGTCAGCGCTACAATGTCTGGAGTGACTACTTGTCTGCGATTCCCCGGTCAACTGAACGCGGATTTGCGAAAACTCGGCACTAACTTGGTGCCGTTCCCCAGGTTGCACTTCTTCGTCCCTGGTTTCGCACCGCTCACGTCACGCTACTCACAGGCCTATCGGACGTATACCGTGCATGATCTGACTCAGCAGATGTTTGACGCGAAAAACCTGATGGCAGCCTGCGATCCACGCCACGGAAAGTATTTGACCGTGGCAGCTATGTTCAGAGGTCGTCTTTCAGTCAAAGAAGTAGACGAAGAAATGCTCAGTGTGCAAAATAAAAATTCTGCACATTTTGTGGACTGGATACCGAGCAATATCAAGACAGCAGTGTGTGATATTCCACCCAGGGGCATGAAAATGGCTGTCACTTTTATCGGAAATACCACAGCTATGCAGGACATATTCAAGAGAATCGGAGAACAGTACACTGCAATGTTTCGCTGTCGAGCGTTTCTCCACTGGTATCTTGCTGAAGGAATGGAGGAAAGTGAATTCATTGATGCCGAAAGGAGCGTCAACGATCTCATCCATGACTATCAACAGTTTCAGGGAGATGAGGTGCATTACCAACGATGATATTCGTTTGGCAGTTTCTTCAATTTGCTACCAGTGTCGCAGTGCCTCCGTAGTCTTCTGTTATATTTCTTCTTTCGCTCAAACGCGCAGTCTGTCAGTTTTTTTCCATTTGTTGTTGCTTCAAAACAACCAATGGGAAAGAAGCTTCAGCTGATCCACTACAGTGAAATTTTGTTTGAGGGGAGGCATTTAAGAATAGGTCTAGGTTCACTTGGTCAATCAAACGTAGGGCAGCAGATTGTAACCTGGCTGACGTTATGAGTGGATAGTAAGATAATCCTGATGACTGGGTTCGAACAAGGCACTTCTGGTCCCTTATATATCGTAAGCAGCAATATGCCGTTAGCAGCCCTTAACGCCGGTGATTGGTCAGGACCTCTGTTAGTGGCCAACTTTGTGCTACGCGTGCTGGTGACGTAACAGTGACGCCCATCTCCTTATTTTTAAGTCTAAAAACAGGAAGTGGAAGGAACAATGATTTTATACGAGTTAAGAACCATTGCTTTAGAAGCCCCATTGGGTCGACTGGTGGGTTATCGAAAAACGTTAATGAGAAAATACAGCAATAGTTCTACTGTCCAGAAAGTGGACTTATCATATGTAATGCAGTAGCCTTGCCTTGCACTCCAAGTGTTTCCATAGAATTAATAGGCGAAAAAATAAATCCAAGTTATATCTCAGGAGTAGGATGGAGAGTATCGTCAAGTAACAAAATATAAGTGGTGGAGTGCGTCATCCAACCGAGTTTTAAATATGGCTAGCGGGAGTGCAGAAACAACAGATTCGAGGAGAGCGCTCAATTGCTGACACACACGAATGAAAAAAGTTTCTACGGCATGGCAGATGGCTGTACTGTTCTAATAATTTCAAGGAGCGGTCTCTAAGTGTGGTGTTTCTGCTGAGTTGAAGTAAAGAGCGGCACACATGATTTGAATTGTGTACTGACAAGTACGCCATGATGAAGTCGCCACGCAGTCGACTATACCGCCCGCTGCATACTCCCAAACGTTTCAGCCTCTGCTCGTATGGAAGGTGGCGCATTCCAATGACGTATGTAGAAACCCGACGTTCAGGTTGGTCCAGTGCAGTAACGTCGTGCTTCAGCCAAGGCTGCCAGGCTTGGATTGCGCATTCGACATGGGAACGAACATATGCATTCAGCATCTGTCTGAACACTGTGGTGTCTAGTTGTCCAAACGCCCGTCGTAGCAAGCCGAAGTGCTGGTTACCAATTTTCGATGGCTGCGGATTGCTTGGAACAACCCAAGTTATCCTGAACAAGGACACTAAGGTCGCGTTCGGCGGATGAACACTGGAGTATTTGCCTTCCTACCTTGTGGCAATAAATACCATGGGGTCGTATAGAGAGTGCCTTGCATTTGTTCACGTTAAATCGTAAACGATTTCGGGTTAACCACCGAGGTACCATATCCAAGTCACATTGAAGTAATTTCCGACCGCTATCCGCCTGAACGCTGCGCTATACCTTGATATTGCCAGTAAACAGCAGGAAATTTGAAGCGATTTTCCGTGTAAGGTCATGGATGAATACCAAAACAGTCGTGGACCTAGAACTGCGCCTTGGAGCACACAAGACTCGACTAGTATGGTTTCAGATAATGTACTTCGGAGTCTGATTACTAATTATCGTTGCGGAAGAAAGTTGGCGATCCAGTTCAAGAGATGGTCACCGATGTCGTAACGTTGGAGCTTGGAAAGTAGAATCCGATGATCTAAACGATCGAATGCCTTCGACAAATCCAAGTAGATCACATCAACTGCCTCTTCAGCGTCAGCCGACTCGGTCCAACTAATCCATGCGATAAATAGATTGGTTGTATACGATCGCTGTCGACGAAAGCCGTGTTGCTTGGGTGCAACAATGTTACAATTGTCTTGATAACACACCGACGCATCGGCAACGATGGATTCCATGACCTTGGACAATACGGGGAGAAGAGACACTGGGCGGTATTTAGAGAGCTCCGTCCTGCTTCCGCCTTTGTGAATCGAAGTTATTATTTCAAGCTTCTACATCACAGGCAACTGGTTTTGGTCTAAGCAGCATTGAAAATAATGGGTCAAGTGTTTCGCCAGTTGTTTTACTGCCGCTCCCAGTGTCTCTGGGCGGATGGTGTCGACTCTCAGGAAGTAGTGGTCACGCAGAGAAGTCGGTTTCTGCAATACAACTTGGGCAGTAAAAGTGATGTGTGTGCGTTTTGGAGGCTATAAAACAAAGCTGTAGGACTGCCTGTTGGTAAAACTTTGCGAAATGTTGGAGCAGATTGCGTCCGCAACGCGTTTGCTGTTTCTATAGCTGTTCTAGTTGCACCATCAGTCGTCCAGAGCGGAAGAATTCCCTGCGTCGCCTTACGACGACCAGTGACATACTTGTACAGCAAATTGTGGTTACCGCTGAGAGATTTCACCACATTTTGCTGATATGCCACTTTATCATCTCTGAGCAGTCGGGTACAGTGATTGCAACAGGCTACGTAGTTATCCCAATTATCCGGCGTTGGTGATGATCTGTACTCTCGCTGGGCTGCGTTGCGTATAGTCATCCATTTCCTAGTTCTGTTCCTCACGAAAGAAACAGTTTTAGGCCCACTGTAAACCCTTGTCTCCGAGGCATTCGTAACCAGTCGATTGAATTTGTTGACGAATTCGAGCCACGCGACTTCTGGGTGGCCTTCAGTGAGGAACGACCAGGTTGTGGCACTAACGAGCTAGGCTAAGCGGTCGTACCAGGTAATGGTGCGCACCATCTCAGTGTTCCGTTGACGATATTCCACATAGCAGATGAAGTCGAAACTGATGACTGCATGATCACTGCGACCCAAAGGGCATTCTACAATCAATACATTAATCATATGTTCCTCGTTGGTGAACACAGGATCCAGCAAAGATGGTCCATTGTCTGTTATGAAACGAGTGGGCATAGTGACGTGATTGTAAAGGGGAACACTGCTTATGAGTTCTTGCAGATCTGCTTTGCATAGTTCTCAGATTGTAGGATTGGTTTCTAAACAATGTATTTTGAAACCAACCAAGATAAGAATGTGAATGTGCGTTCGCTTTAGACTGCATCTTAAATCTTTCGCAAGTTGGCAGTCCATTTCCAGTGTACACCGAAGCTGTAAGATTGGTCTATCCCTCACGTACTTGCATGCGGTGCCAAAAAGAATCGGCTAATTCTGAATGCTTAACGGTTTCACATTATAGGTCACTTCGGTAATACATAATTAACCCTCCTCCTTTCGTAAGTCCGTCGTCTCTTATGAGTGACATGCCCGACAGCGAGACTTCAGCGTGTCATTCCACTTTATAGCCATGTCTCCGTGATACCGATGATATCACATGACCTTGAATTGTAGCGACCTTTAAGTTCTGTCAGCTTATGGAAAAGGACTTGAGCATTGGTATAAAGGCAGGACAGTTTCTCGTTTATGAGTCCACATGAAGCCAAAAGAGTCAAGCGTAGTAGAGGGCCGACCGATACGAGGTCGACCGTCATCCTTTTTTGATGAGATGATGACGACACGTCGTTCGCAAAACTGATTTGGCCAAGGCACGTCTCATTCCTCGTCTAGACATACTGCAGAATCGCGTGGCCGAGCGGTAACGTGATGCTCCTACGGTATCGCTGGTCAGTTTTGCTTTTTAGGCAGTCTCATGTCTGGTCTTTGCAAAGCTTCAGCAGCTTTTAACTGAAGTTCAGATGGAAGGCTTTTACGATGTCTCCGCAAACGTTCTAACACTTCCTTCGCTGTCTGCTCTGACTGAATCACGAGTTTTAGGATTCTTGGTCCGCTTCCTTTATAATTTGGTGAGAGAAGTAGCCTTTTGAGCAATCGCGTCATAACATTCTCCAAGGAAGTGTTTCACGAATGAACCGCCACCGATCCAAATCGTGATTAACGGCCTCATGAGTATCGTGGGAAGTAAGATCTGGCACGCCATAAATAAACATTGTGCTTGGACAATTCAGCTTGCTGTTTCCATCCAACATGTTTCTTTTTGATTGACTCGTGCTCCAAGGGACTTCAAGATGGAGCCGTACCTTACAAGGTCAGTGTTGTAGCGCACTTGCAGAGAGTAAAACGTTTTTCACATCAATGGCCGATTCCACTGTCACTAATAATTCTGGGTTCGCCATAGAGTCCACAGGTCGGGTGACGAGTAACTCTCACTAGGTTTGTGGGTGTTTTTTACGTCCATGAAAATGCACAGAGAGTTGAACAATGAGCAATGATTTATCACGGGATGAAAGCAAACGCTTGACACGTCCAGTAAGATGGTTGGGGTGAATATGATGAAATCAAAATATATCTGGGTTATCTATCGAATGTCTTCCGAGATGAATACTTTGATAATTAACATCATTGTAAAATTAAAATAATCGTGTGTAAACGTTCAAAAATACACTAGGGTGAAGTGACCGTTGATATAAGACGTGAGAAAAGTAAAATATGGTCCCTCACTTGGGTCCATTTGATGCATAAATCCTGCAGAAAAGTATGCTTGGCGTAATCCACAATAGAGGAGTTTAGGTAACAAAATACTGAGAGCTAAGAACAGCATCTAATCATTTTTTGAAAACGTCCAAGGTAGGGGAGGAAACAACTGAGTCTGGGAGTGTGTTTCAGGGTTGGCGAACCCGAAAGGAAAAGTAATTACGTCGACATTCTAGACGGCTAATTGTTCCTTCAATTTTAAGCAGTTACCCCTGAGCTGCGTGTTGTGGCTAAGTTTCAGCAAATGACGGCATACGTGCTTGGGATCACACAATATCCGATACGCTAATATGAGATCGCCGAGCAGTCTTCGATAGCGTCCGCTGAAAATTCTCAGCAATTTCAGCCTTTGGTGGTAAGAGTGATAGCGCAGGCTCGCAATGTGATGGCGGTAGATTCGGGGACATTAGTGCATACGACAGTTAAAGAGTTGTTATTGGAGCCTCCTTTTGTTGAATTGCAAGATCGGGTAATAGTTGGGCCTGGGTTTATGCCAAGTGATGATGGTCTATTGTTTGTTGCTCTATTGGCGTTAGCGGTGTTTGCAACAGAGGAGACACTAAATGTAGCATCCCGAGGGACTTTTGCAGCGATCTCTGCATATGTGACTGGAGTCTCGAGGGATTTGAACTCGACCGCA